GGAAGGAAGGAAGGAAGGAAGGAAGGAACGCATGTATACATGAAAGAGTCATCATGTAGAGAATTCCCACAGGGACGTTATTAACACCCCCCACCCCCTCCACCCCAACCCAACAACATAAATCAAACGCAGAGCATCTGTGCTACATGTCACTGTGGACGCAAATAGCAAAAACATATCATTGTGTAGAAATATGTCTACAGTTTGAACTTGGTTGTAATCGATGTGTGTACAGGTGAGCGAATCCTGTGTGCGCAGGTGAGTTACATTTTAAAAGAACGTGCTGTGTGTACAGGTGAGCGAATGAGGCGCCACCCCATTCGTATGGATAAATTGTTTTTCATTGCTTGCAGTTTCTGCCAAAAGTCAACTCCCGAGCTATTTCCACCACCGTCCAAACCTTTCTATTTTCTTAATTTCTTGCAGGAATACCCCAAACAGAAAGTTGTGCAAACAGACATCCGCAAAAACACACGGTAAAACATTGCAGTTGTTAATTCCAACGTTGTAAAAATTTTTACCGGTTGCAATGCGTTGAAACCCTTTGCGGGTGAGGCCTTTTTCATCAACATCTACAACGCCATGTCCTTGAGCTCAGATGATCATCTCCTCACCTTGTTGGGCGATGTGTGTGATGCGGTGATGTTCTATGCCGTCGATTTGGTTGCTCGGAAACCTGTGGCTGGTGTATGCTGGTGTCTCTGGCGTTAAGATAAGCACTCCCCAGAAGTATGGGCCAACGGCCAACGGTCTTGGGTCACACCTAGGTACAACAGGTCTCACCCGCAGCTAAGGACCTTCCATGGAGTGACAACCTTTGGCCGACGCTCTGGCGCGTGGCAACTTGACAGTTTAATGTATGAACAGGAACAGGTCACAGTTGCTGATCCGCCAGGTTTATAAAAATTGTGATGACTGGCACAAACGACCAGCAAACCTGCATGCAGTTCACAACAAGCAAACATGTTGGACCAAAAACTGTCGGACTTCCTATTGAGGTATCTCTACTGCTTTTTCATTACGCCAGCGGTGTCCTACCGAGTGGCGGGAACTCAGGCAGGGTGCTGGACAGCTTTGGATTCTTCAACAATCTGTTGGCAAACCTATAGATTGCCCAATAGATCCAGAAACACAGATCAGATTTCCAGAGCCAGTTGAGCTTGGACGACATCGAGCATGGACTTCTTCGTGCCCAACCAAACTACTTCGAGGTGGCGCCCGCCTGTGACCGTTTTTTAAAGATGAGGATCAGGAAGAAGGTCATTGCTGAAGATTACTCCTTAGGAATAGGAATGACAGGTGGGTTGGGAAGCTGTGAGGAGGATGATCAGGAGCTTCAACGGAAGCTGCGGCTGTCAGGATCTCACCAATCCCTTGGTCATTGAAAGCCGGCATGAGTGCAATGAACCTTCCAAGATTTAAAGAAGACCATTAGACAAACTCAATTCCCATTGGTGTTTGCCCATTGGTTCTGCCATGTTGAGCCCATTCTTGCTGGTTATGCCTGTTTCACTCGATGGCGGCGGGTGTTGAGGCCTCAAGTGGACCCTCGTATCCACATGGCGCTGAACTGTGGGGCTCGAAGCTGTGCCGGGCTCATCCATCTCCGGATCCAGCAGGAATGGATACTATTCGACTGGCAAGCCAAATTTCAATACTGGCATGCGGCGTGGTAACACAGTAGGATTTTTGCCGAGTCACCATCGAAGCCCTATCCATCCAAATGTTGCATCCAGGTTGGGTTATATATAACACTCATGTACTACCTCATGTATCCACCGAATTGGTTGGGCAACTCCTCTCAGATATAAAATTATCCAAGTGGTACTGATCAGTACCTGGCACCTTTCAGGTCCTGCCATAGGAGTCTACAGTGGGAAGGACCTGAGCCACGAGCTGGACACTGCCGTGGTGAGGGGCACCCAGCTATTGCAGGGGATGACTTCTGGCATGTTTGTCGAAATGGATTCGACTGTCGCGGATCCCAATCGGGTGATCAGATGAAAATTGATGGTGAAACAAATGCCTGTGCCGTGCCTGCAGAAACAAATTGCAATCGCAACCCATATAGGAGCACTGTACGCAACCATGTTGTGCATGGCCACGTCAAAGTCCACATGCTCTTCTATGGTTGTAGCTTGTTGGGAAACACGAAGTTCAAAGCCTTGCGCAATTTCAAGCAGGGTCCCTGAAGCGCAAGGCTGGCTTCGTAGCAGATGACGGCAACGTCCTCATCACAGTGAGGGCCCCACAGAAGACGACAAAGTTCTCGTGCAAGTGAAAGGTCAAAGTCCAGCATCGAAGAAGTGTCCAATGGACACTGAAGAGGGATCGATAGATAGATGGATAGATAGATAGATAGATGGATGGTTGGATAGATTATATATATATAGATAGATAGATAGACAAATACATTGGGAGAAAAATAGAATGTATAATCCAACAGTTGCGCGGCGCTCCTTGCTTCCATCACTTGAGTACCCACTCCAACCTCAAGCTCCTCTCCTCTGCAACCCTTTCTCGAGCCCCATTAGGTTCTGTACAGCTCCAGCTTATGTGTCACTAGGGCGAGGCCATTGGATGCCCCAGAAATAGCAATCACTTGACCTGTCAACCGTTTCAGGACGAACCGAAGCTGCAGCTTGGAGTCACTGAGCTCTTCAAAATGTACCTGGAGGAAGCAACGCACCACGTCAACATCACAACACACTGCAGTACCGTGCAGTATAGTAGTGCAAAAGCGTTTGGCTGTAGCAGGGACTATTAGGGAGTAATTCACTTTTTGCCCTGAGGTGAACCATGTTGCAAGAACTTGTTGGTCGGGTGACTTGGTGTTCACCTGTGTCTAGGACTTCATAGGTGACGAGAAGGACACGGGCAAAGCACTTGCGTCTGAGAACCCGGTCGAGCCAGGGATGGAAACGAGATCAGTGTTCCGAAACATGGCTCTACAATACTCTTCATTTTTTGCTTTTCTAGTGATTGGTGAAACACTGTGGACATTGCATGGCGCCCAGGCAGTGGATTTTGCCCTACGCCACTGGGGACAAGAAGGAGTTGTTGGAAAGAGCTACCAAGCAGTATTGACCTTAGGCGCATTGATCACAATATGTGCCCCCAGTCAGGTGCATCAAGCTTAACTAGCCAGGGGCGGCAGTTATTGGCTATTGGTGTTTTT